AAAAAAAAAAATGTAAGAAGCAAGAAAGTGTGACATACAGTCAAGAAAAAAAATCAGCCAACAGACACTAGTGCCATGAAGACCTAACTTAAAAAGAAAATTAGAAAAAACAGATTGAACATATATAGAAGTATCAGCAAGGGAATAGAAATGAAAAAAAAATTTTTTTCTGAAGGAGAAAAGTGTATCATCTGTAACTGAACCATTTAAAAAAATCTGGATAGGCTTAATGGCACATTGTTGTTAAGAGCTGTCAAGTCGATTCCAACTCACAGAGACCCTATTTAGGGTTTCTGAGGAATGGCTGGTGAGTTTGAACCACCAACCTTGTTGTTCAAACTGACCTTGCAGTCCAGTGCTTTATCCTATAGTGCCACACCATTGGGAATCCATAAATAGTCAGTAACCCGGAACACAGTTTAACAGAAAAAAATCTAATCTAAAGAACATAGAAAAAAGGAAGATTGCAAAATAACGAGCAGAGACCAAGAGACTTGTGAGTCCCAGAAAGAGAGGAGAGATGGGATCAAAAATAGTATCTTATAACATAATGGGGTCCTGGTGTGGTGCTGTACTAGAAAATTGGTTTGAACCAGAAGGTCAGTGGTTCAAGCTCACCAGATGTTCCTCAGAAACCATATGTTGTTATTGTTAAGTGCTGTTGAGTCGGTTCCAACCCTTAATGACCCTGTATAAAGTTTCCGAGTGGATTGGGTCTGACTTAATGGCATTTCACAACAACAACAACAACATAGTGGGGAATTTATCCAAATTTAGCAAAAACATTTATTTACAGAATCAAGAATTTCAGTGAACCCTAGGCAAGATATATACAAAAGATACAACACCTAAACAAGTCATAGTGAAATTATTAAGAGAAAGATAATATTAAAAGAACAGTCAAAAGAAAATAACGCATTACATGCAGAGCAGCCATATAAGTGAGTCTGATTTCCCATCATAAATGTTGGAATCCAGAAGATAATACAAAAATAAATTTTATGGTCTCAAAGGAAACAAACAAACAAAAAACATAGCACCCCCAAATTTGATACCTAGTGAATAAATCCTTTAAATATGAGGGCAAAATAAAAACATTTCTACATAATCCAAAGCTGGGGGAATTCATTATTATCACATATATCGTAAGAGATGCTAAAGAAAGTTCTTTATGCTGAAGATAATGGTATCAGGTGGAAAATAAATCTATGGGAAGGAAGAAAGTGAACCAGGAATTGTAAATATCTGGGTAAAAACAAAAATCTATTCTTCTTCTCTTGATATCTTTAAAAATGTAGCTGATTGCTGAACTTAAAACTATGTACTGTAGTGTTAGGGTATAATGAATGCACAATAAAATGTTACAAAATAAAATTTCACAAAAAATGTTGTCATTGTTATTGTAAGGTGCCATCAAGTCGGTACCGACCCATAGCGACCTTATGCACAGCAGAACAAAATACTGCCCGATCCCAGGCCAACCTCACTACTGTTGTCACACTTGAGTCCATCGATGCTACCACTTGGCTAATACATTTCATTGGGGGTCTTGCTCTTTTTCTCTGACCCTCCACCTCACCAAACATGATATCCTTCTCTAGCGACTGATCCCTCCTGACAATATGTCTGAAGTATGAGAGACGAACTTTGGCCATCTTGCCTTCCAAGGAGCACTCTGGCTGCACTTCTTCCAAAACGGATCTGTTGGTTCTTTTGGGAGCCCATGGCACTTTCAATATTCTCCTCCAACACCATAACTCAAAAGCATCAATTCTTCTATGGTCTTTATTCACTGTCCAGCTTTCACATGCATATGAGGTTATTGTTGTTGTTGTGAGGTGTTGTCCAGTCAGTTCCAACCCATAGCGACCCTGTATAGGGTTTCCGAGGTGAACTTGAACTGCCGACCTTGCAGTTCAAATGGCTTTGCAGTCTGGCACATTAATCCACAGTGCCACACCAGGTAGGGACAGATAAATGGATTTATAAAAACAAGCAACTAAACAATCATCATTCAAGGTAAAAGTGTTTGTAGATTAATTAGCTATGAAATTATAAATTCATTAACTATTAAATTATAAATTACCCCAACTACACATTAAGTCCACAATGCCACATACCAACACAATAACTGGGTCATGTAAGGGTCCATCGGTGTGAAGAGTTTCAATGTCATCTTCAATGTTATAATCCCACTCCACACCAAGATCTATGAAGGTCCGAGACTTGGCTTCCTCCCCTTTGCCATTTAAAATATAGTGGCCTGTAGCTTGGTTTTTAATAGCTAGAGGGTGAAAAATAGTAGCCAGAATACATTTTATCTTATCATATGACAGCTTTGAAGATCCATAGTAAATCTATCACAGTAACATCATGTTTCTTTATTAGCATCAAAATAATCTAAATGAGTGTTAAGTCTGCTATGACTCCCATTTCCTTCATCAGGCATTCAGAACTTTCATTTACCATTTCTAACTAGTCAAAAACAATAAGAAGATATTTAAATGAAAAGAAACAATATTAGCACATACTGACAATTTGAAAACACTGTCAAAGAGATTAATTGTTTGTAACTCATGCATCCTGGAAGCTCAGACTATTTGAAAACAGTAGATACTTCTCCAATAATTAATATAAAGCATTTATATTAAGGCAACATGTAAAATAATGGCTCATTCACTTTACTGAGTATTGCTTTGAAGTTGCTCAAAATACTTGTAGGTACATAGCTCTGGTAGCATAGTGGTTATGGATTGGGCTGCGAACCTTAAGGTTAGCAGTTCAAAACTACCAGCTGTTCTGCTGGAGAAAGATGAGGCTTTCTGCTCTGGTAAAGATTTACGGCCTCAGAAACCCTGTAGAGGGTCGCTATGAGTCAGAACCGACTCCACAGCACAAAACAACAAGAAGAAGATATTTGAACTAATTTTCAGGCAAGTAAATAATTTAACTCTTTCAATGACAAGATTCCAAAACACATCACGTTATATGACTAGAAAAAGCCGCTTACCATTGGTTGAATTCTTAATGTATTACAGATATACTATAAATTATAAAATAAAAAAGCTTCCTGTTATGGATAAAAAATGATAAATAATGCTGAAAATGTTGGAGGTGTTTATCAGCATTTAATGAGAAGTTACAAAAAATTGCATAAATTATTACCATTCCTGAAAATACTTAGAAAACATGATTAATTTTAATTAAATAGTATTACTTCCCTTGAGTTTAATCTAAATCCTCCAGAGATAATCATCTGAACTCTAGGTTGAAGAATAAGGAATTTTAATTACTTCAAATAGAACTATGGCTAACGGTTATACTGATGTTTCATCTAGCAGTGTATACAATTTAGATATATATTTTTTAAACCCATAATTTTATAAAACACCATAAAATAAATTTTTTCATAAGTCACACATGAAAAGAGGCAATCTGCTACAAATTTTTATGGTGCTGACAGATGATATCTTTCTTCTTATTACTTACCTGTTTATACTTGTTCTTACACTTTCAGTATAAACTCCTTTAAAGCAGCATTTCTATATAACTCTCTCATAAGGAGGAAAAGAATCTTAACTTGGAAATTCTAAACAGCCAAGCAAATGGAAATGCATGTGTCAGTCAGAAACCTAACACATGTCAGATATTTAGGAAAAGTTTAATATTAGACTAGGAAAATTCACATGAAAAAAGTGGTTGCATTTCAGCCAAACAAGTTAAAATGCAATTAAAATCAGGGAAAGGTATACAGTATAGCAGCAACTAAAATATCAGAACTCATTTGTCAGTAAAAACATGGCAAATATTTCTGATATTGTTGTTGTTGTTAAGTGCTATCAAGTCAGTTCCAACTCATTGTGACCCTGTATAGGGTTTCCAAGGAACGGCTGGTGAGTTTGAATCACCAACCAACCTTGCAGTTCAAACCGACTTCATGGTCCAGTGCTTATCCTACATTGCCATACTAGGACTCCAATTTTTTCATTACTCCTTAATATTGTGCATTTCAGTAGCATACTTATTTTTCTTGTTGTTGTTGTTGTTAAGTGCCGTCGAGTCGGTTCCGACCCATAGCGACCCTGTACAGGGTTTCCAAGGGTGTAAATCCTTATGGGAGTAGAAAGCCTCATCTTTCTCCCGCGGAGCAGCTGGTAGTTTCGAACCACTGACCTTAAGGTTCGCAGCCCGATTCGTAACCACTACGCTACCAGAGCTCCTTAATGCAGGTGGGAAAAAAAAATATAACAAATGCAAACTTTTCACATGATTTTTTGCCTCATGCAATAGTGAATCAATCTTGGGTTCCATCCCAAATCAAAGTTTTACTGTTGTTGCTGTAGATGTTATCAAGTCAGTTCTGACTAATAGCAACTCTGTACAGGGTTTCCAAGAAACAGCCAGTGGGTTTGAACCGCCAACCTTGTGGTTAATGCTCCACTGTTTATCCTACAGTGTCATACCAGGACTCCTAAATAAAAGGTTTAGTGTTGGATATTCTTGTTTTAAATTAAGAATAGCTGGGAGAAATGACCAACAAAAACTACACTGCATTAAATTAATGCTCTTACATGTAATTGTAATAATTACATATACATGTGTTTATGTATGTATACACATACTATGTGCACATACATGTGTACATATATACATATACACACACATATATGTATATAAATAACTTACGTTTAAATGCATGGTAAAGCAGAGCCGTAAGGTAAGAAACACTTACCAAGAATATGAGGAGAAGCCTCGTCTTCTTGGATTAACACATGTCTACCACCAGGGGGGATATCAAACATCTTAAGGTACCCTTTACATGTGTAGTAAATATTGGAGGAAGCAAAGAAAAAAAAGCAACAACCATGGTTAGTAGAGCACTACATTATTACTGCTCCAGTATGCAGAAGAGGGCATCCATAAATAAAAAGAAGCCGTTTCAGGAATTATTTCAAAGCATTGGTAGTTTTTGTGACATCTGGCATGAGACTAGGGGGCATTTTTTTTTCAGAGGAGGAAAAAGGTTAGTTCTGTTACCAACTATTGAGATATTTATATGGTGTTGATCTGTGAAATGTATCAAAAACTAAGTCAATGCTATAATTTCCTATGCTATGCTATGTGATTCTATTTCAAACTCTCATTTTGTAATGCAGCCATTGTGTGTGTGTACATAGTTGGCAATAAATTCTTAAGGTATTTTAACTGTCTATATAGTGTTTTATAGCTTAAGTAGCAAGTATAGATAGTTAAGCATCTAATCAATAAAATATTTTCATACTTAAAACAGCCTTCTTCATTTTAAAGAAATTACAAAAGAATAATCAGTAAGTAGCTCAGTTTTCTTGGAATCAATAATTTTAAAGCCTTAAATATGTTATATGTTGGGAATCTTCTAAAACACATGTCGTGGGTTTGACCAAACCCCAAAACCCAAACCCACTGCTGAGAGTCAATTTCAACTATGTCGCAAAGTAGAAGTGCCCCCAAAGGGTTCCCCAGGCTGTAAATCTTTATGCAAGCAGACTGCCACAACTTCCTCCCAAGTTTGATATGCTAAACTTTCAGTTAGCAGCCAAGGGTTTTAGCCAATCCTCCACCAGGACTCATATATTGACCAAATCATTTGATTAAAAAATGTTGGCAAGTTATGCTGTACCCTGCATTTATATGCACCTTGACCCTATTCTTCCAAGACAACTACAACAACTAATATGCTTAAATGACTGCCTTTAGTTTTAAAATCATATATCAGTCCTATCACATACAATGCTATAAATGGCTAGGCCTTACTAGTATTACCACATCTACTAAAAATAATCTTATGAAATCTTACAACTAAGGTACTACCATTAAGATCAACAATAAGTCAAATAGAGAGCTCAAGATATTATATCTCATTTTCATCAGAAAAATAATTAAATTCAGGAAGATTATGTAATTTGCACCTTTGGTGGATTATGAAACATTAATTTCATATATGAGGGTGAGTCAAAATTATGCACATTCCAGTTATATTAAAATGCCCATCCATGTCCATGGCTGATGATATCACTGTGCATGCGAAATGATTTTATCGAATAGATGAGTGACAGTGGATTATGTGGCAATTCTTTTGCAAATCAGCCACTGCTCTGCCTATGAAATAATCTACAATAGACTTTGATCTTGTATAGGTCGTGTGAGATGGATACCAAAACAACTCAGGGAAGACCATAAATAGATGTGTTTCAATGTCTGCAAACAAAATTTGGATGGATACTCAAAGGAAGGTAAAAGTTTTTAACAAATCATTACTGTTGACACACATGGATTCAACACTATGAGCCTGAGAGTAAATGGCAGAGTTTGGAATGGAAACATCCTCAATCGTCAACCAACAAAAAGTTCAAATGTCAACCATCAGCTGCAAAAAATAATGCTTACAAGTTTTCTGGGATTTTCAAAGGCCAGTATTGGAACACTATCAGGAAAAGTTTCAACAATCAATGGTACTCATTACAGTGAGATGCTCACTGAAGAGCTCAAGAGTAAACTTCACATTAAATGCAGAGGACTGCTATCCAAGGGCATTATGATCTTGCATGACAATGCGTGTCCACCCACATCTACCCACACTGTTGACACTGCAAAAACTTTGTTTTGAGGTGTGAAGCAACCTCCCTATAGTCCTGATCTTGCTCCATCAAACTTCCACCTGTTTGGTCTCCTGAAAGCAGCCCTTCGAGGATGAAGATTCACCTCTGATGAAGAAGCGAAGACAGCAGTGCATTCATAGCTCATGGGTCAGCCTAGAACATTTTTTAATAAGGGAGTATGAAACCTTGTTGAGAAACAGAAAAAGTGTATTAAAAAGCAAGGAGATTATGTTGAAATTTTATGTATTTGTCTTTTCTAAAACTTGATTAATTGAGTATCATTTTTGACTAACCCTCATGTTATACAATGAGAATTGGTAGGAACTCAATGATCTATCTATCTATCTATCTATCT